TTAGGGTTTAGTCTAAAGGATACATAGATTATATTTTAGTTTTTTTAGTTTATATTAAAAAGTTATACAACAATTCGCTTATCGTTTTTACGGATTTGTCGCGAATCAGCATAACTATTGTGTTATTTAGTTTTTTTGCGTATATTTTCAGTATAATATAGTATTTCTATTTAGAAATGCGAGCATATAGCAGTATTTTTCTTTTTCCGAGTATTCTACAGATTACCTAATTTTGAGTAAATATTTTGTGGGATGGTAATTCTGTTAATCACTCATATGGTTTTGTGCCATTTGCTCCATTCTATGACATTCAGTTCACAAGAATCTGAAATTTAAGCAATTCTTGTATTTTGAGAACACGACTTCGTGACAAAACGAAAAGTTGTTATGATTCTGATTGCAACCTAATGGTGAGACATAGCTGACCTCATAACTTCGTAAGTTTACTGTGTATTGGGTATGATTGTGATTTTCTTTCCATATTTGCAATAGCGTTTCATAGGCTGGAATCCTATGTTACGGATATTTTGGGTCATTCGTGACAATCTTTTCTCTCTTCCTTTATATGTTTATCTATTGTGATTTCTATTGTTATTTTCCTTTCTTTTTCTCATACAGGTGAGTTACCTTGAATGGTTAACCGGTGAGCACACAGGTTGTGGCGAAGGTAGTTTGTTTTGGTCACGCCAAACTTACCTCTTATAGTGATCCGTAGCATGGCTTTTGTTGAGGTTCTTTTGTTGTTTGTTTTGTTCTCCGCTTCCTTGGGTGTGAGGGGTCGCATGACTGATTACACGCGATTTGTGAATCTTTCGTTGCCTCACACTAGGTGGGTTGAGTACGGACAATCAGCTTGAGGATTTCTTCAGGAACATCTGCGCTTCCATGGGATTCTTTCTTTCTTTCTTTTCCTATCCCATACTTTTAGGTTTAGATTTAGTTTTAGTTTTCATATATAGTTTATATGAATGTTTTTATTTGGATTATATGGTGATTTGACTTTCCCGATTGTGTAATCTCACTGATTTGACATACCGATTGCGACTTACCAATAGTGACTCCTTTATGGACGTGTGATACACGAAGTTATCATCCACCAAATTTTCATTTGAAAAATCCAAAACCCTGTACAAACTTAGTTTAGTTTTCCTATGTGGTGTTTGGGCGAAAGTCCTCTTTGAGGGCCTTTCTTTTTTTTGGAGGGGGGCAGTGTAGCGTTTTATTTTTCTTTTTATAAAATTCCAAATTTTAATATTGCTGGCGCCATCTATTCGCTAGATGTTAAACTTCATTCAGTACAGGTAGCGGTTCCTTTCCATAAAAACAAATTTCATTCAGTATAGACGATAGAGTTCACTTAATTGCCTTTGGTCATATGACCTGTCAATTCGAAGACTTCCGTTTTGCGAAAAGGAGGATTTCCGAGAGATTGAGATCAGAAAAAGACGCGTGGTTCAGCGTCCGACGAATCTCAGAGAAAAGGGCTTTCTGAAACACTTTTCCTAACAGTAAAGGCACGGGTATCCAAAAGTGGAGATTTGAAATCCTGTAGAATATACTGTTCAGAGCCTAGTTCGTGTTTTTTGGCCTTTTCCTGGAATAAGATCACAGTAAGTGTATCTACCATTTTGTATCGCCATGTCTAACTAAATTTTATTTCAGTTATTCCCGTTTTTTATTTATTTTGACAATGTTTGATTGTGCATTACTGGTTTGGATCAGCATATAGTTTGGCTATATTTTCGAAGGTGTACAGCTGATTTTCAGACCGTAAGTTATTTTTTTGGTATTCGGTGACTGTTCTGAGAGTTTTTTTTTAGAGTAACTGGCGTATAAGAAATTGACGTATAAGTATTTGGCATATGAGTAACCACTTTTGAGACAGTATTTATGACTCTACATTTATTCTACTGATATCGAAGACTCCTGCTACTATCGAAGAGTCTACATCCACTTCCGTTAGTCTGGAGACTGCCTGCCTACCTGTTCACTACATCACAAAATAAAAAAAAATACAGATAAGTTCTAAGTTCAACACACAAGGTATTCCCTAAATTTTTTTTACTTTGAGACAATATTTTGAATATCTCTGTAAATTGTTGTCATTTATTCCATATAGTATAGTCAAAATTTACCTTTTAGTTAACATTATCAGTCATGCTTTGTCCTTAACGGTACATTTTACTTCAGTATGATCTTTTATGTGAGAATCGCTAACACGGATTCATTTTTGAAGGTTATTGTACACGACTTGTTTCGAAACATCATCGTATTGGTACTTAACATAAATTTCACCTGTTTATATATTACGTAGTATAGTATACTGGAGAGAACTTTAACTAAATTTGAGTTTACTTAAAGTAACTAACGATTTCATTGGGATAATTGAAACTGGGTTTAAACTGATTGATACTTGTGTTCGTTTTCAATAAATGTTTAATGTAGGATAGTTATATCTGACTTTTATTCTTGATGAACATAATAGACCCTTATTGCTGTTGATTATTTTATTTTAGCTATTTCATGATCAAATTTTCTTACTGGTTTCTTACTTTACCTTTTCATACCCAAAGTAAGTGGCGCCCTTTTTACTGTCTTTGACCATTACTGTTTGAATACTTGACATCAATTTTAGAATCTTTGCAGCCTATACATTATTACTTTTATTATATTATTTAACAACATTATTAAGTCACCACAGGTCACAAGCCTTACCTACGAACCCAGCTCTCCTCTAACCCTGAGCAACGGATACCTTTTTCTTTCTGTTTGAGTGATGACAGAAAAAGTCGTCACAGGAGTAGAATTCGTTTATATTTTATGGGTCCAATTTTTGGAAATAAGTATTTATTAGTAATAGATTCTTATAGCAAATGGCCGGAGGTATTTAAATCTAATCGTAGTGATGCAAACAACGTAATTAAATTATTACAAAAAATATTTGCACGTTTTGGATTACCTCGTAAAATAGTTTCAGATAACGGTCCTCCTTGTGCATCGCGTGAATTTTCTCATTTTTTACAGCAAAATGGAATTAGACAATTATTTGCAACCCCAAAACATCCTCAAAGTAATGGGTAAGTAGAAAATTTAGTTAAAACTTTCAAATTAGCACTTAAAAAGGCAGTATCAGAAAATAGAAATTATGATACAGCACGTACTGAATTTGTTTTTGATTATAGGAATACACCACACGCTCTTACTAACAAAAGCCCCGCAGAATTAATGTTTAACAGACGCTTACGCTGTAAATTAGATTTATTAATACCTAAAAATCAAGAGATTATATCAGATAAAATTCAAAAACAAGTCGAGTATAAAAATAGTAGTGTTAGAAATTTTAATTTAGGTGATAAGATTTTATTAAGAGACTTAAAAAGCCTGAACATCCTATCTGGATACCAGGCAGTGTTATTGCGCAAGAGGGATCGGTAATTTATAAGGTCAAATCTAAGGATGATAGAGAATTTAGACGGCATTCGAATCAGCTTAGGCCTTCTCTCAGTTCTTTTAGAACAGAACCTGTAGAAAGCGAACATGTTGAAAATAGATTTGATTGGAAAAATAGATTTGATCGTCTAATGTTTTTAGTGTCTTGTCCTGGGGCGCTATTCTGTAAAATCGTGGGTATCGGTAAGTTACGACAGCTCTCGATACGTATTTGTATATAGTAAAAATGTGTTAATTGTTGTTGTCATAGTTACCGATCGGTCCTATTGCAGATATCGCAAATTTGTACCGACGAAAATCGGTATCTCCGTGCCCTTGTCAACCTTACGGTAGAGATACCGAGAGTCGTCGGTACAAATTTGCGATATCTGTCATAGGGCCGATCGGTAACTATGACAACAACAATCAACCCGACGCTCATTGGCCGTACGTACCGATAGCTGTCGGTAACTTGCCGATACCGACGATTGTACAGAATAGCGCCCCTGGCCATTTACAAAATGCACAAATCGTATTTTTAATCATATCTCAATTTTTTCAAATAGAACGAGGGTGGCTCATTAGCATATTTGAAAAGAGCATTTTTTTACGAATAATTTGATACCACACACTTGGTATTTTGAGTCAAATTTTGGTTACGAACCGCAAGTTAAATTTCAAATAAACCATATGCGAAAATGTCAATAGTTGACATATATGTCATTCTATCGAGTGTTATATTCTATCTAATAAAGTAAAACATGCCGAGGGTGTTATTTAAAAATCAAAAGTTGTAGTCATTTCCGGTGAAACAGGAGGTGACCAAAAACAATTGAATACGTCAATCAATCCTAATTTATGTCATATACTAACATACCAAATCTGTTTTTTTTTTACTGAAAAAATAAACAAAATATAGGGGTGAGCCACTTTTGAGACGCACCCGGTAAATTATTTAAAATAGTTTTTTAAACCAACTTTTATTCAGCGAAATATATATTTATGTTAGGTAACTTAATCACTTTAAACATTATTAGGTAATTTACCTTTGAATTTTTATTCTTTAAATAATTAATATATTCATAAATATTATCGAAGATTCTGACTTTGACAAGGGAAAATTTCTGTTCTTGTTTGCGGTTGCTCTTAGCAACCGCTAAAGCAGCGCCCTACAACGTATGCACTCCGATATATAAGTTTTGGCGGCAAGCCGAGCGTTCCAATCTAAACTTGTTTCCTTTATCTATGATTATAATAAAGGTATCGCGTATGTAAAATTTAGAAAACGTCAACATTTGACATATCCAGTATTTTATCAAACCGTTCTGTATTTGATGTTTTTCAGGAACTGATCTTTACCGGTCTGGTTCACCTGGTTTATGAGCTTTCATTTTTTAAATAAACCCATAAGATTGTTTAAAATCAACGGCGGACGACGCTTTACGGATGCATGTAAACTCACACTTAGTTGAACTGAACTGATTAGTTCAGTTCAACCGCAAAGGCAAGACGAAAGCGACTTCAGAACTTCTTATTGGCTCTTATACACTTTTTTATGATCTTATACTTACGAGTTTTATCTAAAGCTGTATTAAGATACAAACCTTCCAAATCTGCCGTAATATATTTCTTAAAACTATTATTTATATTGCCACTTGAAGAAATGTCAATTAATACTCCATAACGCTCCAGTAACCTTTGTGCGTCTAATAACATAGAATGCTTAGGAGGCTCGTGACATCTTAAAAATGCTATGTCAGGGAAAGAGTCGTATATCTTCTTCGCTACAGATATATTCGCAAGTAGCATAAATTCTTCTATCAATCTAATAACAAAAAATTGTGTCTGCACTATGTGCGCATATATTTGAAGTGAAACTTCTAACAGCCTATTAAATTGAAGGATTTGAAAAAAAAATTAAACCAAAATACTACATCTATATCTCTGACTACTACTAACCAACAATTTGTTTTGTGTGGTCTGTTTTGTTTAAATGTTTTGTTCATTATTCATGTTGGGGATTTATTTTTAAATTAATCGTAATTGTTAGGCAACCAGTAAAGTCATAGAATATGTATTTCTTTTGCATAATCAAAACTGTCACTCTAAATGTTACATAACCAAATTGTCACTCTAAATCGCTGTCTTTTTTAGACAGATGTCACTTGTCTTGTCATTATTCAATTCATAATTCGAATTCTCAGAATGTTGTTAACAAACGTTTAATCTTAAAATAAAATTTTAATCAATCACAATTGTTTATTTCATTTATCGGATTAATAATACAGAAATTACAGCTCAATTACAAACAATTCATTATTTCTTGTGATGTACAGAAATTTTATTAAAATATACAAATATTCTCGTTGATTATTGGTTTGAAATAAATATGACAGTGTCCTCCAATGAAAATGCGAGTTACTAACTCTAAATTCTAATTCTGAGCTGGAAAATGAGCTAGATGCTTTACCTAGACCGTTATTCAGAAGCTACAAACCTATCGAGGAAAATAAATCAAAAAGAGCATAAAATCAAGTTTGGTACAGTATCAAGTTTATTATAGTGATTTTCTCAGCCGCGTAGGGCAGAAATCGTTACCCAGTGTTGCCACAAGCTTATTTTTCATCGGGGTAGATTATCACGAGATAGCGGAGGTAAATTGTTTTACAAAAGGGTAGATCTACCCCGAATAGGGTAGCTGTGGCAACACTGCATATACGTATAAATAAATATACTCAGCCTAATCTCTAAAAAGTGATGCCCAAACGGTGAATGAGAAATATGGAATTCTACATAAGTCTATTTCACCCGGATATACATTTAATTGCGCATGCCTTACCTTTTGGTCGATGAAGGTCGAAGTGGTTGACTGACATCTCACCTAACCTTCAATTTTATTTATATTTTTATTATTTATAACACATTATCATGGAGTTGGAAAAATATCAAAAAATAGTCGGGAACAATAAACTAAACAAAATCACTCTTTTACGCGCACAAAGAAAAAGGAATCTAAACGGAACTAAAACAACAATCAATCGGAGTTTGGCGCAATCGCAGTTCAATCAATATCCGGGTGAAATAGACTTATGTAGCATTAATATGGAGCTGATTTATATTGTCTTTTTCTTACGGTTAGGTTTGGTTTGGTTTGGTCACGGCCTTGATTTTTTACTACCAAAGCGCGTAAAGAAGTTTCACTTCAAAAATTGTAAAAATGTCGAAAAATGTTAATAACAGCTTACCTGTGTGATTCCTTGTTTTCATAAGTAATAAAATCGTTCGGCTCCCCCGTTCGAGGATTTAAGCTAAAAAGCAATTTTACTTGATCAATCCGCAACGAACCATTTTTGACTCTCGCCTCCCGTAAATTCACTGCAATTCTCTGAAGGACATTCACTGTTTTACTAAGATCTTTAGGTGAAAAGTTATTTCGAATTTGTGGAAGTTCGTCTGTATTAAATTCCCTAGTAAAAATAATATAATCTGTACTAGAGATGAGCAAAACTGCGATTCTCCAATTGCAATTGAAACTGCAATTGCGATTTTAATATTTAAATATTGTACTAGGTATATAATTGTGGAAGAGATGGGGGGATGCCTATGTCTAACGATGGACCAAAGAAGGCTGAATAGATAGATAGATAGATATAATTGCCCGTGTTACCTATAGCATAACAGTTAAAAAAAAGTTAATAAAAATCAGTTGTTTGGTTTTTATAACTGTTTTGTTCTAAGATTATTAGTGGACTGTAATAGGTATGAGTTTAAAGAGGTTTTGAACTTTTGACACTTTTATTTATTATTTTTCAGCGGCGATCGGGCGGCCTTGTGTCTTACTTGAGTTTTGTCTATAAACTGAAACTTTAGTCAGCTGAGCGCGGTTGCCTAATTGCTTGATTGTCTGGTAGATGTCGTTAAATCAATTTAAAATAATTTACAATAAAAAATACAGAAACTAGACATGCCGCCGACCTTGAAATAATACATTGTTTCAACAAAATACAAACTAAATTATAATCTGATACATTAACATGAATAGAGATCATGAATTCCAACAAATACAAAATAATGCTTATTGCTTATTTTTTATATAATTTAATTTTTGTGACAGTAACATTCAATTTATTGTTCAAAGATAAACATTTTACAAATTAAATTTTTAAAATTAATGTTCGAATTTGGCACGCGGGCGATAGGTCCTGGACAAGGATAGATAGAGTAGAAGCACCGCGTATGCAACAAAAAAAGAAGATAAATGGAAGTCGTTGATATGTTTGCGACAGTTTCCATAGTGATTTACTTATCCACGTAAGTATATATGATCTAGGGTTCAGATTTTATTTACCTTAGATATAGGTAGATACTCCTTAATATCCTCCAATATAAAAGGTGTAATATCCAAATTAAATTCTTTTAAAATTGATAGTGTTTCAACCTTTAAATCTCCACTAATTCCAATGGTTTCTTCAATAACTCCTAAATATAAGAAAAAATGCTAAACTGTTTATGGTGTTGTATTTGATAACTATTTCAAAATAAAGCCGATAAAACTAAACCAAAACCCGGTTTTTTTTTTGCTGAAACTATGCCAAAATGCTTTTAGTATCAATACTAAATCAATGTCTACCACATTCAAAGAAGTATTCTCTAGTTAAGTACTTATACTCGTACAGTATTAAATATAAAAAACTGAGATTTGGGTATTGATTATCAAATATTATAGATAGGAAATTACATTAAGAATTTTTTGTTTGCAAACTCCAGCAATTACTTTAAGGTAGCGCGTAGCTGGCGGAGATCGTAATAATAATAAAATGTTCCTAAAAATAATTATTGGTATTAAACCAATATTTAGTCATATTTAAAGCTAAATATCTCGTAGAAATTTTAACGTATTAATTTTATTTAAATTAATTTAGGAATAATTTAGGCTTTTTTTATCAATATACAGGGTGCTACAAATTCGAGGTATGAGCATTGGTATCTCGGAAACCGTAAGAGATACGAAGATGGTTAAATTGGGGCAAAGTTTCGCTTTAGGATGTTCACCAAGATGTCATCAAAAAAGTTTTAAAAATTTCAAGGATTGCTGAGTTTTTTGGAAAAAAACGGATTTTTTTGAAAATCAATTTTATTTTTTCCTGGCGTAACTTTTTAGAAAATCAAAAAACTATTTGCACATTATCATGGCTACTTTATTAGGGCTATCTGATAGTATTTTTAGATTTTCAAATTAGCTGATAAATTGTGAGATACAGAGGCCAACTTAATTTTTTTAAATACGGACCTGCATTTTTTATTTGAAGTTTTGAAAGAACTTGATCTCCTGAGTACAATGATATGCCACACTTGATGCTTTTTATTTTGTTTTAGGTACCTTAACAATAACAAAGCTATTTAATTATTGTTTAAAATAATTTCAAATCCCACTCTGGTTTTTTAAATTATTTAATCTGATTAAAGAGAACCTCGATAAAGTTTACCGTTTCTATAAAATAGCATTTTAGAATAATTTATATAAAAATTCATTTAGAAAATAAAACATGAATTTCTAAATTATATCTATATCTTTGTGACGGGTTCATTTCTTCAAAAAATACTTTTGGGTTTTATACCACCAAAAGAAAATGAACAAAATAAAACAGGCATTTTAAACACCAGTGCGTTGATCAAACGGAGACCAATTTGTTAGTGATATTTTACTTGTTAGTGAACATACAAAAAAGTTCGTTTTTTAATTTTTTAGTTTTTTAAATCTAAAACAAAAATAATATACAGAGTGTTCTATTTTAAAATATTGAGACAAATCATTTTAAATATCGCTATGTTGTCCAAGCCATAAAAATGCCTGTAATAGATAATGTGAATTTTTCTTTACGAATTTATTCTATTATCCTTAGTGTTTGCGAAACTATAGCTAAGCATCAATAAAGTTAAATTCACTCCGGTTGTAACCATTTTTTGGAGAAAACATCCCTAAAGGGGTGGCCATCACGGTCTTTCTGCCGAGGAGCAAGGGGAAAGACACCATCTACCTGCTGAACCTTATCCAGGGTCAGAACTTTAATGTAAGGACATCGAGTTGGCGAGTCATCAACTCGAGAGAGGAGGGTCATGGTCAGGTCCTCACAACACGAATTGACCTCAAATCGAAGGAGGCAATAGAAAAAGAGGGACATACCTTCTATTATAGATACGGGACAACACCGTATTGTTTAAAAGGGTTTTTTTAAACAAAAAGGGTTTTTTTACCGTTACCTCGTTGATAGTAACCAAACAAATTGGGATCAATTTCTTCCACACGTAACATTTGCGTACAATTCCGCAAAACAAGATACAACAAACTTCTCTCCCTTTATTTTGGTATATGGCAGAGAGCCTATTTTACCAACAGAAGCAACCTTATTACCCCCTCCCAACCCCCAGAATAGTCACGAATTGCGAGATACCGCCCTGGCAATTCGAAATATGGCTGTCGAAAATATAAAACGTCGTCAAAATATTGACAAAGTTCCAACAAAGTTCGCTACGACTTTAAACACAGGCACATTGAATATGAGGAAGGTGACCAAGTAAAAGTCTTTACCCCCGTACGGAAAATCGGTAGAAGTGAAAAACTTTTGTTAAAATGGTTTGGACCATACTATATAATCAGAAAGGTTTCTGATGTAGATTATGAAATACAGAAGGGTTCATCCAAGCAGTCCAAAAGGGATATAGTGCATGTTAGTAGAATCCTACCTTATCATGACCCGTGGACTCCCGAGGCAATACCCGAGTAAATCATTCATACGTATAATGATTAATTCATAATTGAAAACAACTAACCTACAATTATATTTGAATAAGGAAATGGATAGATAATAATAAAATTATATATAGGATAATCATTAATATTACCGTTATCTTACGAATAAGATTAGTTTAAACGCTGTTCCCAAAAAAAAAAAAAAATCTAAATTTCTCGAGAAGAGTTAAAGAGTGTATATATGTATACGAAACGTAAATAACGTAATTATCTTATTAAGTACATAATTAAAATAAATTGATATATAATTTTATTTTGAAACAAAATAAACATATAATATAGTAAGTAAGAAAAAAATGAAATCTAATCGTTTAGCGATAATAACATATATGAATATATGAATATACATATATTTCATATTTCTGTATATTATATAATAATGCTAATATATTCGTATAATGAAAAAAAAAAAAAAAAAATAATAAAGATATAAGGAGTTAAATAAATAAGAATGTTTATCCTAGGTTTGTTTGTTTATTGGCAACAGCGAGAACACATAACATAAACGAAGAAAATTACAATGTTGAAGTAAGCGCAGGTGCGTACTGGAAACCGTTACCAGATACAAAAATATATGAGGCAACAATTCCGCTAACTTACCAAACAAGTTGGGATGAAGATCAGATTAACACTACCGTGCCATTGAAAAATGTTTGTCAGAACTCTGTTTTGAATGACAAAGAATGCATTATATTATACCAAATGGGGCAACTTTCAGAAGCATTTTCAGAAGAATTTAATATGCTTAATGAAAATTGGAATACTAAGGCGATGAGATACGAAGATCCGCCAACAGTAAGACGAAGAAGAGCGCTAGACTTTATAGGATCAGGATTGTCTTGGTGCTGTGGAGTGGCAACAATGCAAAAATTGAATTTAGTCGAAGAAACTGAGAAACATGTGGTTCAAAGGTTAAATAAAATCAACGAAGGTGTTTCCGAAACTATAAAAAAGATTAGCGAAGACTCGAAACATTTCAAAGAATATGAAAAATCAGTAGCAAAGGCATTTGAAACCACAGAAACTAGAATAAAATACATTGAGAGATATACTGAAGAAATTCAGAAAAACATAAAAAACTCTGTAGACAAACAAGAAGTATTAACGTTAAACATGCTTTATAACCAATATCTAAGTTTAAAGAGAATCGTACTCCTAACAAGAGCATTAAGAAGACATGCCATTATAAACTCATGCAAAGACCATAAAATACCGTCCGATTTAGTTAATCCACGAATTTTAATAAAAGACTTAAACGAATTGAATAAAGAAATATTTCCCTCAGGTCAAGGACTGGCCATCCAAACACCTGAGATATCAAGATACTACGAAATTCCTATTTGCGATTGTTCATTCACAAGTACTAAATTATTCATACACATCAAAGTTCCGATAATCCAAAACAACCGACAATGGCAGTTATATGAGTTAGTAACTACACCATTTGCATGGTTTAATCAGACATGTTCAATATCACACGAACCACTTTACATGGCAGTATCGGTAACAAAACATCTTAAAGATAGCATGAGACAGATATCGGGAACAGGTCTACACCAGTGTAAACCCTATCACGACAAATTGTGCTACATCCCTAGATTCTCTGCAGATAGTCTACAAGGGCCACAATGCGCGAAAAAGTTATATACAGGAGCAACAGTACAAGAAATAAGCCAGTACTGCCCAATGAATTGCCACTCCGCAACAGCGATGATCATATCCGAAATAGACGAGGAAATATATGTACTAACACACATCAAAAACGATTTAGAGATATCATGTGACATACAGACAGGCATCAGCCAATACAAAATATCATCAAACTTTGCAGGTCAAGGCGCTATAAAAATTCATCTACCTTGCAATTGTCATTTACATTCCACTAACGAAATTATTATACCAAAGAAATTTCCGTGCGTAGAATATCTAACTCCATTCAATACAAACGTAGTTCATATTATACCTGCAGTTTGGTCAAATCTAAAATCTTTTATTCTTAAACCAAAGATGTTACACGTCTCTCCAACTTTCAAAAATTTATCTGAATGTTTAAATTCAAACTGGACCCTTCAGGTGCCGCATCTCAACTTAACCTCAACTAAAACTAATATCGATACAGTCATAGATTCAATTAAAAATTCGTTTCCAATATTTGATTCTTATAGTGATACCTATGGCGCTCACAGTGATACTTTATTCATGATATGGAATATCGTATTATCTGTCTTAGTAATATATCTCTTATGTAATCGTAATAGACTAGCAGTTGCAACGTCATTAATTCAAATGGTTCACGGTCAAGGTGCGAAACTTGATCACGACACGTCTCATGACATACTTTTTGGGCTAGTTTGCACTTTTTTCATTGTTTTCTTTTTATGTTTAGTTATTTACTGTATTTGGCATTACTTTATAAAGTTAAAAAGGCAAAATAATAGGCGTTTAAAAAATTTAAATAGATGTAATTTTAACAATGAAAATAAAAATATTAAACTCTCTTGCGTATCTAGCGAAAATCGAACATTTCATTATAATTTAGAGCCAAATGATAATCAGAACCTCCTATCTCTATCTCCTGGGGATAAAATAAATGCAACTATTGAATGCATACAAATAGAATAAGTATTGTGTATACGTGTATTGGAAAGGCAACTCTGTATGCCCAAGT